TCCTCGACTCAGGTTTAGTCGAAGAGGAAGAAAGGAAATTGGAGGCATTTCTAAGAGAAAACATAGAGGCACTCGCCTGGACACCGTACGAGATGTCGAAGATCAGCGTCAAGGCCACCTACCACAAACTCAACATGGATAGGTCAGCTAAACCCGTAATGCAAGAGCTAGGCAACCAACTTTGGTCCACGTGGAAGTTATAGAAGAGGAAGTAGAGAGATTATTGGAGGCACAAGCGATCTGAAAAGTGAACTACCTAACATGGTTGTCCAATACAGTGGTAGTTAAGAAGAAGAATGGAAAGTGGAGGATTTGCATGGACTTCATGAGCCTGAACAAGGCTTTCCCAAAGGATTGCTTCCCTTCACCCAAGATAGACCAACTGGTGGACGCTACTTTGGCACATAAGAGGATGAGCTTCTATAGCTCGACTATTTTGCACCCCTTTTCGGAAGGTTTGAAAGAAAGCCCTACAGTTTGAACTCCCGTGGTTCTAAATCTAATCTCACAAGTGCAATGTGAAACTGATAAACACCAACGAGTCCGAATCCGGCAAATCCTTTTGGAAAACTGATTTTGAATCAAAATGCCAAAATTGGATTGTTTTGCCAGATACAGAGTGGCCACCTAAATATTTTGTTTTGGGGAAAATTAGGAAACCCTGACTCATGCCAAAGGCCATGTGTCCCTTATCACCAAAGTTGCTTCGGCTCGGGAACTTAGGTACGAGAGGGGAATGTCATGAATTGAGCACTCCCACTCGCCCAATCAAAGATCGGCCTCTTCCAATCATGATATGATTTTTATAAACATTATGTGCTCTTGTTTCGATTATTAAGCTAGCTTTACTACGTGATGCGCGCAATCAAATATAGACTAGTTTGCTCAAGTTGGAACAATTCAACTCATGTTTGTTTGCGAAAATGGTTTGAATTTGCCACCTCAAGTGGGCTTAAAGTTTGTAGATTTTGCCACCAAACATAGTGGGCTTAAAATATGATTTGCCACTCAACAAAGTGGGCTTAAAACTTACATCTGTTGAATCGTTCCAATTCAAACAACAAGCTTTCATCCACAGGCATTCAAGAAGTTTAGCAAGTAAGCACATAGCCTCATGGCAAGTATGCTAATCATGGCAACATTCACACTTATACAAGTACGCTAAAGCGTAAAAACTCACCGAGTACTCCAAGCCAAAAAAGAAACTAGTTAGAAAGATGCATGATCCTAACTATACAAGATGCTTAATGCAACACATGCAATATGCAATTAATGGGCTCGGCTACTAATGTGGCATATAGAGCAATTTCAACAACATGCAATTAAACACATATTCAAAGAAGATATTGAAATGACAATGCAGTTTGAATGATGCACTGGGCCTCGGTGCATGCAATACAAGATGAATGGATGCAAACATGCAATCTGCTAATTGAAACATGTTCCTAATCTAACCATCAAAAGCAAGTAAATAAAAGGGAGAAAGACGTGGGGTTGGATGTCATACACACACACACACACACACACTTATTACAACATTGCGCCATCGCAAAGAAGGGTACGAATGTATAAGTTAACTAACTAGCTACGCTATTTAAGCTAACTAATTATTACAAACCGAATTGATCAACTATTCTAGTTAACTAATTATTACAAAACGAAATTAAATAACTAGTTAAACTAACTAATTATTTATAACTCTTAATTAGCTACAACAAATTAATCTATTGCTAATTAAACTAATTTGCTAATTTCGGGAAGCGAGGGATGCATGCATGTTCAATTCTTCACTCAAAAAGCCATTGCCTTGCTACTGAAAGCCTCTGTTTGCACATATGAACACCAACAAAGTTGTCCACTTCCAGAACACCTCTGCTCCACCTTACCAATGCACTGTGCAAATTTCATGGATGGCCGACAGGGAACCGGTCGGCTACCATTGGTGGCTGGTTGGCCACTGGTGATGGCTGTCGGCCACTGTTGGTTTGAACTTCATTGCTGCAACAGAGAGCAAAACAGTATATTTCTCAAGGGTTGTTTGCACACTTTGCCTCTTCTTTTCATGGGGAAATCAAATGAGGGACAAGCTTTGGTTCACAAATCATTAATCAAGCAATTTCATTGCATGATGGCTTGTGAAACCAATTATGCAAGTTCAATAAATGCAAAAACAAGACTCAAAGAAACCATCACCCTATCATGCATGATCAAGGGCAATGGAGACCAAGGAAAATGGCACATTTCATCACTTTGAGTATGAAATGTCCCATTTACCTTGTGTTCAAATTAACGTCTGATTTGAACACATGCAATGCAACACAAATAGATGCTTATCTTGTCTCTTTTACTTGCCAATTTTGTTTACTCATTTTAATTACCGAGTCATCCTTTAATCCATAAAGTCCATTGGTGAGTGTCATCTAATGGAATGAGGGCTTAAACCCCAAGTTGCTTTGGGCATGAAAGAGGTATTACACTGTTGGTAATGAACCCCTTAGGGGATTAAACTATTAGGTGTAGCACCTCCATTTCACACTTAGGCAAACAAGTGATTTGAAACCACTTTCAAAGCAAACCAAAAAGTGAAGAAATGAGGGAGATTGTAGAGATTATGGCCTTATTTGGTTTGTGTTTCTGAAAAAAATTTGGAAAAAATTCTCTACAAATAAGTTTTCAAAAGTTATCAAACCAAAAAAATTTTCCCAAATTTTTTTTCCAAAACTTGTTTGGTTTACAAACTTTCCAAACAAATCTCTCTCTCATACACATCAAATCAATCACTTTTTCCAAAACTCTCTCTCAAAATAATTTTTCGAAACATCTTTTGAAAAAAAGTCAAACTAAACAAATTTTCATACTTTTTATCTCAAAACATGTTTCTCAAATACAAACCAAACAAGGCCTATAAGTGCTGAAATGAAGCCGGAAAAAAAAAAGCACTAAAACATGCAATCAACTCGAACCAATGACGGTTAAAGCCTTAAAACACTAAACTAGTGAAGGAATTAACATTACAACTATGAAAAACAAAACTCAAACAAATTAACCAGCCCAAAATAGAGCTAAAACAGGTTATTTCAGAGGCTAAAACATGCTAGACTTGAGCTAAGTTAAGCTAAAAAAATATTTTAACATGTGAAGCTAACTAGGCATGGAAACAAGACACAAGGAGGGGAGGCTAATCCCTCCAAATTTGGACTTCAAAATAAGTTTTTTGCCACTGAAAAACCTCTGAAATTCAGTGGTTAAAAAGCCCAAAAAAGTTGATTTGAAAGTGATGAATAAAGGCACAAAAGCTTTACAAACTAAAAAGCAAAAAGGGTGAACCACCCCTAACTCAAAAAAAGGGCTCAAACCAGCACTTTTAAACCACAAAAACAGAGCTTTTTACAGTTCAAAACCAGTTGGAAAACATGTTGGAATGAAGACAAAAGTAGCTAAAAGAATAAGCTAAAACATGGCAATTTAAGCTAGTAAAGAAGCCAACAGAGGAGTGGCTAACCCCTTCGTTTTTGGGACTCCAAAATCACTTTTTTAGCCTCTAAAAACCTCTGAACATCAGTGGTAAAAAGCTCAAAAAAAGTTGATGAAAGAATGGGAAACACAAGTGGAAAGGCTTAGAGAGCTAGGTTTAAAGAAGGGTGATTAACCCCTCTACCTCTAAAAGCCTTAAACCACAAGCTTCAGCCTATAAAAATAGTTTTTAAAGAGCTTAAAAACAGCAAGAAAAGATGGAAAACAAATGGTGTAAAGATGGTACAAAGGCAAGAGAAAGTATACCTCTTGGAGATGAGTGAACCCTTAAGCCATAAACCACCAATTTTCACACTCTCAAGTGCTTCAAGAGCTCAAATCCAAGCTCAAATCACCTCAGCAAGAAGCTCTGTAGGTTTGGTTTGGTGTGTTTAGGCATAGGCTATGCAATTTGCAAAAGAGAAAGAGAATTGTAGAGAGAGAGAGGATTGTAGAGATAGAGAGTTCATTTTTCAAAAATATTTCACTCCTAAATGTTTTCTAACCTTGAAAGCAAGAAGAGAGGCCTTCTATATAGAAAAAAACAGCCCCTTAGGTCGAAAATATCTAGCTTTTTTCACCAATGGCCGTCAAGAATTGTCGGCCATCAAAAATCTGCTTCCAGACCCAACTTTAAATGGGCATATCTCTTTCATCCAAACTCCTTTGTAGGTCATTCTTAAGCCTCAATTGAAGCCCCAGAAGTCTACTTTCCAATGGAAGTGGCCTCACATGAAAATTCTAAGTGTGCTAAGAGATATGCTTATTCTAGTGAAGGTCGCTCAGTTTTAGCTTAATCGGATGGATGCCTAACTTCAACCTGCCATATCTCCCTCATCCAGACTCGTCTTTTGGAGATTCTTGAGTGTAGAATGAATCCCCGGATGTCCACTTTCCAATGGTGGTGGCCTCACAACTTAAGTCTAAGTGTACAAAATGATAGACCTAATTTAGTGAAGGATGCCCAGTTCGCTCTTAACAATTTCAAGCCCAACCACTTCCCCAACTAGGTTTCTTCCCTCTCTTCTAATTTTCTTCAACTCCAAACCTCTAAATAAGATGTTTTAAATATTTTTTCAAAGAGCTCACCTCTTCCATTTATTTTCACTTTGTCCTTGCTCCATTTACCGAAAAGTGAAATTTTTAACGAAATGTGAGCCTCGGAACATCGTAGAAACATTTTGAAAATATTTTGAAAAAAAGGGTTTTAAGGTCTAAAAAAGTTTTCTTCAAAATTGTTTTGGTCCAAAATAGGGTGTAAGGTTGGGATTTAGAGCTCTTCTTGCTGAAGAAATTGAACATTTGCATAGCCCAACTTTTATCATCGAGTGATCAATTAGTGGCACCCAAGTCTTAAGCGTGGTAAAAAATTGGGTGTCTACAGCTTCCTTGATGCACATAGAGGCTATCACCAGATAGCCATGTTCACACCAGATGAAAAGAAGACGACATTCATCACTCCAAAAGGACTTTATTACTAAAAGGTCATGCCCTTTGGATTGAAGAATGCAAGAGCAACATACCAGAGACTCGTGACCAAGATATTCAAGCATCTGATTGAGAAGACCATGGAAGTCTACATTGATGACATGGTCATGAAAAGCAAAGAACCTGCCGATCATATTACCAACCTTAAGGAGGTGTTTGACATTCTAAAGGCATATCGGCTTCGGCTTCAGCTGAATGCCTCCAAGTGTGCTTTCGAGGTAGGATCAGACAAGTTCTTCGCATACTGTAGCTTGACTTTTTGTGCCCCCTTTCAGAAGACGAATAGCCCTAAAGTATCAGACTCCCACGGTTCTGAATATGATCTCACAAGTACAATGTGAAATAGATAACACATGAGTCCAAATCCGGCAAATCTTTTGAAAAATCGAAGTTTGAATCAAATGCCAAAAATGGACTGCTTTGCCAGATTTCAGAATCTCCACCTAAATATTTCTGAGAAATTTAGGAAACCTAAGACTCGTGCCAAAGGCCATTAGGCCGTCATCACCAAAGTGTCTCAGGTCGGGAACTTACGTATGAGAGAAGAAGGTCATGAACTGAGCACCACCCCACTTGTCCAATCAAAGATCGGCCTCTGCTAATTGTGATGTGATTTTTATTTACATTATATACTCTTGACGCACACAAGTATAGACTAATTTGTAAGATTTGGAACATTTGATTTGTTTGTTTGAAAAAAATTGTTTTGTGAATATGCCACTTGAAAAAGTGGGCTAAAACGGACAATTATCCCAATTCAAGCAACTAGCCTTCATCCACAGGCATTCAAACAGTTATATCATTTAAGCAATTAGCCTCATGGAAATGTGTTTTGACATGGCACATAGACATTCAATGCAAGATACTAAAACATAAAATTATGCACCTAGTACTCCAAGTGAAAACAAAGCAATTTTATTAGAAAAAAATATGCATGTTCCTAATTAAATGCAATATGGCTAATGCAATGCACACATTATGTAATTTATAGACTCGGATATGAGCATGGCATATGATTTCGCTCAAGGCATGCGATAAAGCACGTATTCAAGTAATGAATTTAAACAATGATATTGGGTTAGCATGATGAGCCGAACCTTAGATGCATGCAAGACAATGGATGTAAAGCATAAGAATGCTAATTTGAAAAAATAATGTTCTATTCTAACCATCGCAAGCAAGTAAGTAAAAGGGAGAAAGATGTGGGGTTGGAAGACATACAACTTATTACATAATTGCCCTCGTGCAAGAGGGTACAAATCAAAGTCCGAAAGTCTGAATTAAACTAATTATTACAAAATTGAATGAATAAATAAGCGAAGAATAAGTAGCTAACTACTATATTACAACAAGGATAATAATGATGAGTAGACTAACGATTTAAACAATCTCAAATAAATAATAATAATAAATTAATTAATTACAACACTAATCATGATGTAAGTAAGGATGCGCAAAGGTCGTATGCTCAATATCCAAGAACAGCTCTGTCTGCCCTAGGCTTGTTCTGTTTCACCTTCAGCCACTGCCCTCTGTTTTTTGCAAAATACACTGCTGACCAAACGTTGATGACCGGTCGGCCCTCAATGGAGCCCGGCTGGGCCTAAAGAAGGCCGGTCGTGCCTCAATGTTATGCAAAATTTTGTTTTGTGCTCTGAAGTGAAAACAGTGCAGACAAAGTGTTTTGAACTCTGTTTGTCCTTTCTATCCTTCTCTGTCATGGGAAAGCCTCGAGAGAAGGTTGGAATTGTTTCTAAAACCATCAATGAGCAAGTTGATTGCTTGATGATTTCAGGTACAATTTGGATAGAAATCAATGAATAAAATGAACAAAAAATGACCCCTCCTTCCTATCATAAAGTAGACTCATAAGACAACCCTTGACACAATGGATTCGACATAACGTCCGGCCGAACCCTAAGCAATATAACTCATTTTCCTTATGTGGGTTGATTCATTTTAAGCCAAATTCATTAGTCTTTACTATCTTTTAATCCATTAAGTCCAAGATGATTGTTACGTCCACTAAAGATTATGTCCACTAAATGAGAAATATGTCAAACGGGAGGTGATTCTCAACGTAAAAAAGAGACTACACTGTTGGTAATGAACCTCCATAGAGATTAAGCCATTAAGTATAAATCACTAGTTCACGTTTTGAATAACCATCAACCGATTGAAACAACTCTCAAATGAAAGATATGAATGGAAAATTGATTATTAAAATGAGGTTCTTAAACATGGAAATGAGTTAAAGAAAAGCTAAGAACAATATACCATAAGCTATGTAAGCAAACTTATGAGACAACAACCAAGCTAATCAAAGCATGAACTATTTAAACAACCTAAAACAGCCCCAATACAGCCCTCAAAAGATGAAAAACAGTGGCTTAGAATGCATGAAAAGAGCCTAAAAAGCTAATTAACAAAGAGATAAAACAAGACTAGTAAACAAGAACGAGGAGAGGTGGCTAACCCCTCCACTTTTGAAACCTCAAAGCATGATTTTTAGCCTTTTTTAAACTCTAAAAATTAGTTTAGGGAACAAAGAAAAAGAATGCAAAAGTAAGGGTTTGAGCTATAGGTAAAGGTGTAGAAAGAATGTAAATTCTCTCTATCCTTTTTGTAGCTCTCCAAACCCAAACTTAAACACTAAGAATAGAGTCAAAGCAACATGAAACTACAAGAACTATATAGGAAATGAAAGAACAAAAACTAAAAGATATGATGGCAGGCTTATACCTCTCAAAGAAGTAAGCTTTTGCTTGTGATTCAAACTAAGTCTCAACACACTCTCAAGCTTGAATTATGGTGTTCAAGGTTGAACCAAGGTTCCTAGGCCAAGGTATGAAGGTGTATATGGTGTATGGATATAGGTTCAAGGTGATAGGTTAGCTCAAAGTGTTGCTTGCACAAGAATAAGGAGAAGAAGGAGCTCTCAAGGTGATGCAGAGGCTTTGTAGAAATTCCTCAACCCTCAAAACAGAGATATATGATCATTTTTATAGAATTGGAGCAATAGGAGGCATAAAGATCTTAAAAAATGGACAGCTAGCGGCCTCCCGCCAAGAACAGTGTTTCTCGCTACTAAGGCACGACCGGCCTTCAATAGCCACGGCCGGGTCTCAATGTGTTCCCTTGTTTTTTCTGTTTCAGCCTCAGCATAGAGTGGCACAATGTGTAAAAATGGATTTCTTGGGTATAATCAGTGGGAATATATAAGGTTTGGGATTGTTTCAGAGCTTAAACATGGCCCCTTTATTGAGACCTCGAACCAGGCACAACACCACTTTCATCATCGAGTGTACCGAATAAAGCATTCGAGCCTTGAGGGCAATCAAAAACGTGAAGAAGGCCATAGAGTTTTTATGGACAAAAACATGTGAAGTTGCCCTAGCCGACTTGTAGAGGTATTTGACATCTCCACCCGTATTGTCAAACCTAGTTTTAAGAGAGGAACTATTTTTGTACCTAGTAGTCTCAAAACACACCGTTAGCGCAGTGGTTGTTAGAGAAAATAAGGGAGAACAGAAGGCAGTATATTATGTGAGCAAGACCTTGGCAAGTGCGGAGACAAGGTACCTACCTCTAGAAAGATTGAGGCTCGCTCTGGTAATGGTGTCAAAGAAGTTGAACCACTATTTTCAGGCTCACAAGATTGTGGTGCTCACAGAGCAACCGCTGTAGTTTTTGTTACAACACGAAGACTTGTGGAGAAGAATAGCATGATGGATTATAATTCGAGGTCAGTATGACATAGAATACAGACCAAGGATAGTTATCGGAGGTCAGGTTCTGGCCAACTTTGTTGTTGAATTTACACCGAGCGCAAGCTCGAAGCCTAGACCAGTGAACCTAGACCTTCGATGCACAAATGGACTGGAGGAAACACAGCTGGCAGCATAGAACCCCAAGCCAGCGGAAAAGAAAGAAGCCTAGAGGAAAAAAATGAAAAGTCAAAACCCTATGATATTTACATCAGCGAGTTCTTTTGTCTTTTTGTCGGTGGCAGTTTAAATCAGTAAGGAGCGGGGGCAAGAGTGGTACTAGTCTCACCAGAGGGATAAATGTTAGAACAGTCCATCAGACTAGGGTTCATGGTTCAAATAATGAAGCAGAGTACAAGACACTGATTATTGGATTAAAACAAGCAGCAGTAATTGATGCTAATGAGGTGGTTGTCTATTGTGACTCTTAACTCATCGTAAATTAGGCAACAGACGAATATGTTGCCCGAGACGATAGAATAATGGCTTATGTGAAAAAAGTCATCAAGTTGCTAGCACAATTCAGGAACTGTAGGCTCTAGTAGGTTTGTCGAGAAGACAATAGCCATGTAGATGCACTGGCAAACTTGGCCTCAGCCATGAAATTGAATTCCCCAAGAACCATCATGGTAGACTACTTGTCTGGCCAAGGTGTCGAGCCCCTAATCTCGAGCGCCTGATCATGAAGTATGAAGCAATATGCGTGGAGTTGGGTCCAAGCTAGATGGACTCGTTGGTCAAATTTTTCAGGGATGGCAAGTTACGAAAAGACAAGAAGGAAGCCCACAAGATCAGATTAAGGTCGACAGTGTTTTGCTTGTCAGCTGAAGGACACCTTTACAAAAGGTCTTTCACCAGACCATTGTTGCGATGTATGTACCCTTCCCAAGTTGAAGACTTCTTATACGAGATCCATGAAGGAGTTTGTAGAAGTCATATAGGGGGTACACCTCTTGCCCACGAAGCCATATCGCGAGGATACTGGTGGCCTTACATGAAAAAAGGTACTAAAGCCTATGTTCGAAAGTGCGATAAGTGTTAAAGGTTTGTGCCTTTAATACACCAACTAGCTGGAGACTTAAACACGGTATCTAGTCCTTGGCCATTTGCCCAATGGAGTACGGATCTGATTGGGCAATTGCCTAAGGCAATTGGACAGAGGAAGTACTTGCTAATAGTTACGGATTACTTCACAAAATGGGCAATGGGTGACCCACTAACCAAAATTTGAGATGTGGACATAAGGAGCTTCATCTAAAAAAATATTATCACCAAATTTTGAATCCCTAGAGCCATTGTAGCAGACAATCACACCCAATTTGACAGTAAGTTGATCAAGAATTCTTGTGTGAAGTACAAGATTAAGAACTACTACTCAACATGTAGTTTCCCACAAAGCAATGGCCAAGTCGTGGCCTCAAATAGAACCATCTTGGATGGCATAAAGAAGAGACTAAAAGCTGCCAAGGGCAAGTGGGTTGAGGAGTTGCCTAATGTTCTATGGGTATATCGTACTACGTTGAGAAGATCAAATAGAGAATCACTTTTTTTCATGGCTTATGGCACCGACGCCGTCATACCGTTATAGATCGACATTCCTAGAATTAGAACTTAGGCAGTAGAAAATGAAACAAATGAGACATTTTTAGCCCGAGATCTGGACCTGATTGAAGAAAGAAAGAAGCGAGCAGTAATTCGATTACGGGTATACCTACAGGGATTAACTAGAGCATACAACAAGAAAGTAAATCCCAGAGAATTCCAAGTAGGGGATCTCGTCTTAAGAAAAGTTATCGGTAACAAGAAAGATCCCAAGGAGGGTAAGGTTGGCCCAAACTGGGAAGGGTCATACAATATTATCTCAATTGCCGGCAATGGGGCATATCGGATAGAAGACTGCGATGGCAAGAAATTGCCAAGGCCATGGAACACCAGTAATTTCAAGTTCTTCTATCATTAGTTTTATTTGTTTATCTCTTTCTCTGTTTGATGTAATCAAGAAGATATTTACCTGAAATATTGAGTAATAAAATACTAACTCGATTTTGTTCTTTGCAAAATGTCGTCAAAATTCTTATGTTAAATGGATACTTAGGAAGATGTGATGTTTCAAAGAAGGACAATACATTTAACTTAGGCTTTTCAAGATGACAGAGCTGAACTAAGTTAAAGAGATGTTTTAGCAAAAAAACAAGATGAAACCAGTCGTGATTTGGCCAGTTTGTACGAAACATCGAGGTACTTAGTACTCTCGGTGCACTAAGATTAAGCCTTAAGTGTTTAGACGAGCTGAACCCGACGACTCTAGTCATGGATGCCTAAGTCAGAGTTAGGCAAGATTTAGATAGATATTGATCCTTAATGAGAACATAAGTTTTAGCTTATATTCACATTGGCCCTGTTTGATAGAGCTGTGAGAAAGTGCTTATAGCTTATACTTAAACAGCTTATAGCTTATAACTATGAACATAAGCTGATTTCTGACTTATAAATTAAGCATCTCCTGTCCCACTCAAAGAATAAGTTAATTTCTGACTTCCAAAAAGCTATAAGCTATAAGCTATATGCTAAATCAAACACATCAAAATAGCTTAAATTAAGCTGAAAGCTGAAATAAGCAGCTTTTAAGCTGCACTAAACAGGGCCATTAAGAGGCAAGGAGTCGAGATGAGTTATACTTGAGATAAGTTACTAATATGTAAAAATTTCTAAAATTTTTTCATGATTGTTCTCCGAGATGAGTTCATTACAGATTAACCGAAATGAGTTCTAATATTCATGGTTGTGTTCCCTAAGATGAGTTCATTACAGGTTAACTAAGATGAGATATGAGATGTTGTACTTAGAAGAATTTATGACAAGCAACGTATTAAAGACAGTGCGTGTAAAGCATACATTCAACAGTAAATTAGAAGAAGAAAGATGCATTCACAAAAGAAGATTATTCAAATACATCTAAAGGCACTTCGGCCTTGCAAAGCCAGAAGACTATTTAAAGTTGAAGTACAGAAAAAAGAAAAAGTACCAAAAAAGCAAAGGGAAACAAAGTAAAGAGGAAAAAAAAATCCTAAGTGCTAGGTTCTGGGGCAAGGTTCTCAGTTTATTCCACATCGGCTAGTAGAGGTGTGGTAGCCTTTTTAGCCTCGACATTGGCTGCGACCTCTTCATCCATTTCCTTCAGAGTGTCCTTAAGGCTCTTCTCGGCTCCAAAAGTGTCAGTCTTTGTTGAAGAAGTACTTTTGGAGACCTCGTCCTCATCCTCGTCCTCCTCGGTCAAGTCCAGAACCTAGTCATTTAGAGTTAGGGACTTGGCCCTAGCAACAGTAGCAGTTGTGCCTTTGTTTTTTTCTTCATCGTCTTCCTTGGATTGAACAGAGGAAATGAGGGAAAGACACGTCAAGCTAATTGAAATCCCGAAGATGTGATTCATCGGGGGCCAACAGCTTCTTGAGAGCAATAACCTAGCCGAGATAGTATCCTTTGTTGCAGGCCAGGTTAACCTGCTACTTATACTGATCCCATACGTCATTCTTTTCCTTCTCATAAGCCTTCTCATTAGTAGTTTTGATCTCAGCATCTTTTGTGGCCAAGGCTTTGGCCAGTTTCTTCTCGGCCTCAACAACCTTTTCCTCGGTAGTTTAGCAACAACCTTGACCCTTGAGCTCGCCAGCCCTTGTTGCATTGACCTTGTCTAGTTGACTCTTGATTCTAGCCTTGGCCTTATTGAGTTGAGAAAGAGAGTTTAATGCTTCCTATGTCTTCTTGTTAAGTCTTTGTTCATCAACTCAGCTCTAATGGCATGAGAGTAGGCATGCTGAATGGCTTGCAAATAAGGAAATGAGTTAGTAAAATTTTACTAAGTATGGAAATTGAATGGAAAACTAAGAGTTGGGAGAATTACCAGAACTGAATGCCTCATCATTAAGCGAAGTGCTCATATTCGTTATATTCATTGATGGCATCCATGTCAGTAAGGAGAAGGAAAATAGTGGTTACTGCAGCTCCAACCTCAGGGTCCTTGATGGCATTGTCGTTGACTTTCAGAAATTTGTCACCAACCTGGATCTTGGGGAGCTAGGTGTCCTTAGGGAGAACATTCATTTCGCCCCAAGATTGACCAACTTCGGCTTCTTACTAGTTGGGCCTCAATGAAATCAGACGCTGGCCTTTTTTTAGTAGCCATATTTGAGATAGGCATGTTGTCCTTAGGATCTTGTTCCTCTAAGGAAAGGGTTACTGCCAGCTTGGCCTTTGACTTGGCCTTTTTCACCATTCTAGGTTTCTGCACAAACTGCGGGGAGGGAGTGGATTGCATAGTCACCAGTCGAGAGACCGGCTAGCAGATCATTGGCCATGACTAGTTTACGTCATATCTCTTCTGAGGTGGCGATGATGGTAACTTCGGTGCCGAGTTTGAAGATAAGAAGAGTGATTGGTGGATTAGCGGGGTCATACTCCAGTACGTTAGTACCTCGGTGCTTTTTGCTGCGAGTCCTCCCTGCTGGAGTGTTGATAAGTTGGCGGCAGCGTTCGCGTTGAGAAGGCAAAATGTGTTGAGATGGAGCTGAGATGAACAGTTGGTCTAATGGATCAGAGGTAGAGGCCTGATCTGGTCTTGGAAAAGATGTTGCTGCAGAGTTGTTGCAGAATGTGGAGTCCTAATCCTGGAAGGAACGTCGAGAAGAGGAGATCGATACGTCGGCATGTAGTTAAGCAGAATGAAGGCCTTATGATCTTTGATGGGCAGGTCCAGAAGTCGGATTAGGTCTTATCGCTTGATGTATGATTTGCAGAAGGACTTGTTTGGTTGGGGTAAGTCTGCAAAGACAGAGAAAACAAACATGAGAATTTGACTAAGTATGAGAAATGATGTTGAAAGTGTGATTTAGGGAAACTAAGTGGTTACCTTCATCTTTCCTAAAGATCCCTTTGGGTGCAGGGGAAAAAGGCGCAGTTCATCATCTGGTGCAAACTCCCAGCTGCCCAAGACGATGAGATAGTCTTTTCTAGCACCCTTGTTAGAGTCTGGAAGGTCGACTATCATCTTGCAGGCGGTTGACTTGAATTTCAGGTAGTAGGAGATGTCGTTGGAGGATTTGAGGCTACACATGGTGTAGCAGTCTAAACATTGGACAAGGAGAGCCTAACGTTATGTTTATTACTATTTGCATGAGGTTAAGGTGGTAGTAGTGTATCATTTCTCGAAACAGGATGTTGAGGGAAAACCTAATCCCACCCTCAATAATCGACACCATGGGGAAGGGCATGTAATTCCCCCCAGGCATGATAGAATCTTCTTCACTGGTTAGCCAAATCTGAACATTGGCTAGGATGTCTATCATGACCCAAACCCGCCCCTATAGGTTTAGCATCGTAACTGGCCAGTAATCCGAAATTACCAAAGGCCTTCTTGTACAAATCAAAATAATCAGGGCTAGCGAAAGCTTAATATAAAAATATATATATATATATAACAAGTAGTCCAATGAGCTGTGATTCTATATGAAATAACATATACACATAACGTTAATTTACCCACCCTGCATTACATACATCACATCTTGTACAAAAATATTTATCTACATATACACTTATATCAAAGTATCAACATCATGATCAAAAACTTGACAACGGTCTTCTAGACCAAGTCTCACATCGGAGGCACCAAAACAAATTCCAAAGGCTTTAAATGGTGGCTCGGCTAAAGGATTCTTTCTGAGCTTGCTCTTCATGACGTTCATCTATACATATATATACACACAATGAGCTAAAGCCCAGTGAATAATATTGAAGTATAGAAGTTAGTGAATGAATTCCATACATGTCATATACATAAAATAGATCGTAACAAATCAATCTCATATCTGAACATAAAAAAGGTACATCCAATGAAACATATCATATCATCTTCCAACTAGAGTAATCAGTTTCGGATACCGATTAAACATATCACCACTTTGTCAAGTGGCTAACGAGATATCGTAATCATATATATGTCATGAACCCGCATTAACATGTTGTCCCCCGTGACTTGGGATCATTCTTTGGATGCCATAATAGATTAAAAAATGGGACATTCGTTCACGAAAGCAAATATCATTTATCCAATAGCATTTCAAATATAATTCATTTGAACATATCTTTATAGAAATGTTACTCATAGTGCCTGGTCAGATAATACTCCTAACGGCTCAACTTGCAGAAACATAACCAAGCAGAACAAAAACACATTTTATTCACTTCGTTCAGTCGGTTCATTCGTTATTTATTTGCTCTGTTCTTCCTATTCTTTCTTTCATTCTCTTGTGTTCATACAATGCAAATGCATATGAAAAACACTAGAAAACCATACAAATGGAGGTTCGAAAGGTAGAAAAACAGAAAGAAAACAAATCCGAGACTGCCCTGGAAACCGCACGTGCGAGAGCGTTAGCTGCAAGTGCAGAAATGTCACCATACGTGTGAAAATTAGAAGGAAATGTTTACCTTGAGTTTATGATTTGTGAAAATCAAGCCGATCTCCAAAGCTTTCCCTAAGTTCTCCTTCTTTCTCCCTTCCTTTATTGAGTTCTCTAGAGTTTTCTTGTT